GAGTGGCGCCATTCCTTACGATTCCTTACACAGATCAATTTTCACCACAAATCTAATATACCCCTATACTCATTTTGAGTATCGGGTATAACGAGGGGGAACGCTGTGACCGCGGCGACCGCAACTCAAGATTTATACCCGATACTTAGTCAGTACGGCTCTTCTCCGGCAGACACCGCTAATATTAAACGACACGACAAAGAGTGCGTGCGAGAATGACAGATAATCTGGGCGTGTCGTCAGGCGCTGAAAATTGATTCGTTCCTTTCGGCTATAAAAATGATCCCATCTGATCCAGATTCAGCAATCTGATAGATATGGTCATTCTCTATGAGTTTTCTAGTATGTTCAATATTGTGGATGCCACAGATTTTCGTCGTTTGTGGGGGCGTAAGGGAGTGGGGCGAAATTTTGAAACAAACTTGTCAAGGTCCGATATCACAGGAGTGTGGATTATAGATACTGAGATCCTTGAATTCAAATTTTTCAATAGGCAAAGTCGACCATGAAACCTGTGTGTTAGAGAGAGACAGAGTGAGAGAGAATGACGTTTTCTTGATTCTGGCTATAATATTTAAAAGATCTGGTTCAGATTTTGCACTTTAGAAGATATATTCATCCTCTACGATTCGGCTTCTTCTGTTTTCTTGTATCTTTGAAATTGTGGATGCCACAGATTTTCGCCCTTTGTGGGGGTGGAAGTGGGCGGGGCGAAGTTTTAAAATATTCTTGTTTAGTGGACGTTGACATGCAATGACTACATATTTCAAGAGGCGATGCAATTACTGCACCGTCAAATGGCCCGTGTGACACCAGCAGAAGGCTGTTACGCGAGCATGCAGGAAAGATATTAGAGAAGATTAGCACTAAAGTTTCTAATAGAACTGGGCATGCATTCAAAATAAAAACGAGGGGGAACGTTGTGAGTTGCTGCGGACACCGCAACTCTACGGTTATACCCGATACTAAGTCAGTATGGCTCTCCTCCGGCAGACGCCGCTAATATTAAACGACACGACAAAGAATGCGTGCGAGAGAGACAGAAAATCAGTCTGAGCGTGACGTCGGGCGCTGCGTAGGCACTGAAAATTGATTTGTTCCTTTTGGCTATAAAAATGATCTGATCTGATCCAGATTCAGCAACCTGATAGATATGGTCATTATTTATGATTCTGCGTTTTTAGTTTTCTCGAATGTGCAATATTGTTGATGCAACAGATTTTCGTCCTTTGTGTGGGCGGAAGGGGGTGGGGCGAAATTTTGAGATATACGTTTTATAGTGAGATCTAACAGAAGTACGGACACTAAATTTGGTTACTCTAGCCTTAATACTCTCTGAGATTTGTGAATATCCCCAGATTTGCATCCTTTGCGGGGGCGGAAGGGGGTGTGGCGAAATTTTGAAACAAACTCGTCTCGGTCCGATATATTAGGAGTGTGGATACCAAATTCGGTTGCTCTAGCTTTTATAGTCTCTGAGATCTAGGCGCTAATGTTTTACTCTAAGCAATGCCGCCTATGCTACGTGTGTGTTAGAGAGAGACAGGGCGAGAAAAAATGAAATTGTTTTCTTGATGCTGGCTATAATAATAATACGATCCAATTCAGATTCTGCAGTCTAAAAGATATGGTCATTCTCTACGATTCTGCGTTTTTGGTTTTATCGTATCTTTAAAAATGTGGATGCCACAGATTTTCGTCCTTTGTGGGGGCGGAAGTGGGCGAGGCAAAGTTTTGAAACATTTTTGGAGCAGTGACATATCACAGAAGTCTGGATCCAAAACATCGTTGCTCCAGCTCTTATAGTCTTTGAGCACTATGCGCTGAAGGGGACGGACAGACGGACAGACGGACGGACGGACAGACAGACAAGGCTCAATCGACTCGGCTATTGATGCTGATCAAGAATATATATACTTTATGAGGTCGGAAACGATTCCTTCTGGACGTTACACACATCCACTTTTACCACAAATCTAATATACCCCAATACTCATTTTGAGTATCGGGTATAATAAAAATACCACTACAATTACTAATTACTAATTACTAGAAAGATGTGTAAGGATTAGTAATTTAATAAGAGGAAGAGAATTAGTGGTGGATATGATATGGCAGAGGGAATTATAATCCGAGCATAAGACCCTAAACGGTTTAGTTAAGGAATAATTCGATCTACAAAGTGGAAGGAACAACGGTATAAAACTTCTAGTAAGTCTAATAGGGATCGTGAAGTTTATGCGGCTCAACAGTTCAGGGCTGTCTATGTCACCCCTGATCAAGTTGTGCATAAAAATCACATCAAGCATTTTTCTACGGTTAACTAAGGGGAATAGGAGGTTTACTAATAGCAGTCTACTAGAGTAAGATGGGAAGAGATGCGGTTGAAGAGGCATGGTTTTTGCCCTCCGCCACTTTAAGAGGAGTACCGAGCTCCTTTGCGGTGTTTTTAATATTTAAATTTGAGTTTGGCATTGTTGGTCCCACGAGTAGACGGGAAGGGTTTAGTCACCCGGGGCATAGCCCGCGTGCCCCGGGAAGTCTGATGTAAAATGGAGGTCTACAGGTAGTCGCCTCGGATTCAGGACAAGCCAAGAACCAGAGACGCCTGTGCCCCGTTCCGAGATTACAGTTGCGACAAGCATGTAAACGTCCTTTCTAACGTTGTTAACATCGTAATAGTCTTCTACCATCCTCTGAATAATGTCATCCAATCATACAGCTAGGAGGCAGGTCCGCGGTGAAGGCATGTTTGATTTCCCGCTTACCGGCCCAAAGACAACCCAGCCCAGCTCAGTTGCAGCCGCATATGGTCCCTGTCCGACAAACAGTCACGATCTAATTGGAAATCCCAAATGTCCGTGATCCAGTCCAATGAATATCTTCCTCACTGCGATTATGTGGGGCCTAATTGGCAGGCTAGCATTAACGCCTTAAACATCTCGTCGGTGTAGAGTCAGCATCGGCTTGCTCAGGCTCGAAACGGAATACACGTTTCACAACGCATAGCGAATTGGCTTGCCTGTTCCACGATGGTTAGCTCCACTGAATATTTAGATGACGACGCTCACCTTGCACGCCCAGATCCTTTCTGAGGAAATCGTCGATCATCGTAAGAGATGATCCTTCATCCAGAAGTGTGAATGTATCCATCGGTTTGCTCCGTACAGCGTTACTGACAGTATACGGAACAATAGGCGGCCTCCTTCTACGTCGACACAATTTAAGATCATCTGTGCGGCCGCATCCGCCTGCGAAGCCCCTCTGTTCAGGCTACGTCTAGAAACTATTGTCTGCTGGTTTCGCTAACCTTCTGCGACCTTGCAGGATCTAGTCATATGAGCACTTCGTAGGCATGAAGAGCATAGTTAATGCCTCCTCACGTACCTCCACCTGTCTGGCGGAGAAGCTCCGTTGAAGTCCCTCAGCCTTTAACTGCATGTTGCCCTCCACAGATTGGACAACCTCTGAGACGGCTCTCTTGTTGCTCGCCGCGGTATTGGTCGATCCCTGCATGTAGCAATCGGCGCCTTGATTCCCACTTTGGCCACAAGTTCTTCCAGAAGTGTTGGGTTGCTTAAATGCTGATCTGCCCTCGTTGACTGCAAGAAGGCAGTGAGATTACTCACACGGGTTGCAAAGGGAATAATCTTCGTCAGGCTGTGCTCCGAAATATTGGGCACCTCTCGTATTCCACTGAGCTGGCTGCGTATAAGCTACTCCGGTCGACCATATCTGAAACACAGCTGCTCCACAACAGCTCTCACGTTGCTCGGATGAATCAAGAAAGACTTGACACTCTCGCGGTGAAGTGCTTCAGTGCCTTCAACACGCGTTGGTTGTTCTCCAGATTTGTACAGTGTAGTGGCGTCGGCGTCGTGACGTTGCCTACACACGGCGGCACGACTCCATGCGCTGTCTGCGCTGTACTGGTTGCGCAAAATGACGTAAAATAGCTGCTACTCGCAAGCAGAGGTGGTCCGCTATAAGATGGCGACTGCTCACTCCGACCCCGTTAGGTATTACGTGCTCACATTGTTCTGGGCTCTTGCCTCTTGTCCTTTCCAGCTCCTGCTCCAACAATGCAATTCTCACTAAGAGATCCAGCAGTAGAGGTGGCTCGTTCTGTCGAAGTGCGGAAACTCCTGCTGTGGTCGTAAAACTACTAAGGTGACCGTAGTGGCTTGGCTAGGAATCAGCGGAGCCGACGTAACTATTACTTTCGACTTCGGCGGCCTGTTTCCTGCACCACTACTTCCAGATTGCGAAGACGCACTAGTTGTTGTGGGGGTGGATTGCCCATCCATTATTCGGTTACTTCTTCTGGGAGAATTTTGCATCCTTCTGTTTCCCAGAAGCTCCAGATAATCGACGCTGCCTGCGTCTGCTTTGGGTCGCTGCCTGCAGCCCAGTCCAAATATCCACGCTGGCCGCGTTCCTCTGGGCGCTGCCTGCAGCCCAGCTCAAATCGACGCTGCCTGCATCCCTAGAGATTCTCTAACTGGAGGTGGTTGAGTGCCTGTACTCCAGCGCAAATTTCCCTTGCAAGTCCTTGCCTAGGACTGTGAATAAAATATCATGTCGGTGGTCACGCGGAGATGCCTTTAACAGCATCAATCAATCGGCAAGAACAGTTATTGTCGCATGGAGCTGCTGCTGCTTGCCCCTGCTGGTTCTGAGCTGCCGCACCGCTGCTAAGCTGTTTTATTCTATAAAGTACGTCGATACACAACCTAGCAAAATATCGCCAAAAAATTCTTACCGCAGTATGTCCTCCTGCTTTAACCACGAGACAGTGAAACAGTGAAGCTTAAAACCCTGTCGGCACCTCATGGTAGCCGAAAGTATGCCTGTTCGTTTGTAGCTAGAAATTCACCTTTTATCGATATACATTAAATACTAGATCTAAAACTACCCCGCCATATCGGTCAATTATCGTCCGACGACACTTACCATACCCTTTTTACGTTTGGTTTGTTCTTTTTCATGGTTTTATATAGTTTATTTTGTATAACTTTCATTTTATTAGATATAAAGACTTTTTTAATTGATAAAAAATAAAACTAATCACACTTGTATATAATAGTTTCATCCTTAAACTTGTGCATCTGTTCATACCAAATGTCCTCAAAAGTAGTGTCCACCTCACCGCAAAATGTCGGAAATGGCGGAGCTTGCTTCAGCTTCCGCAGGGGCAAAATCGTATCGTATATATATACGAGGCCACCGGTAGGTCCAGGCACTGAGCTACCTTGCACCCACATGACATTGTACTTTGCGTTAGTGCGCCAAATTCGCAGGCCTTTAAGAACACGCCAACGATTACCCATATGACCAGGCATCTTTGTACCAGGCCAGACACGTCCCTTTTCGCCACCACCTCCAATGTTACCGGGACGGCGATGAGTCTTGGTAACGCCATGTGAAGCAGGCATGCCCTTGTAGCCGTGTCGCTTGACTACACCTTGGAAACCGTGGTCCACGCTATAACGAAAAGCCAGACAAATTAAAAGCTATTAGACCATTCATTAAACGAAATATAACTAAAATTCCATTTGAATATTGCAAAGTTAGATAGTACAGAAAAATTCATCAAGAATTTTGCATTTAAAATGTTAAGCAGGTTTTATTTATACATAGTTGGCAATCACAGTGACACGAAGCTATCTCTCAGTTCGCAAATATCGTTTCACAGTTTCGTGGTGTATGAGCAAAACTCTTATTTGGGAGACACATTGAGAAAAGATCAAATTAGTTTTTGCTCAATTCACTCAAGTAAAGACAGATTTTTAGCCTCTTTTGCTACTGTCTTTCACTGGGAAATTTGTCGCGAACAAACGACAAAGGTGTCTTGACTGAAATGTGTTGACTATTGACGCTTAAAGGAATTAGCAAAAATCAGAAACTTTGCAAATCTATACAAATCTTGTGTGTAAAGTGTTGTTAGTGTTGTCGTCTCGACCGGACACAAAAAACATATAACACAAGCGAAGACAGAAAATGTTTTGCTCAGTGAGAGAGCGAGTGTACGTTGTTTTCTGTTTTGTCAGTGACCAGACCGACCACACAGGAAAAAAGTGTTGACCGCTATTTTCGAGCTCTGATCAAAACACTTTTAATTCATAGTTTTTGAATTTCTGATTTGTCTTATTTATTATATTTTGTAATCGTGGAATTAGCCATTTATTGTCATATAAAGTTTCTATGTTGCAAGCTTTGCAATAAATAAACGATGGAGAACGTTGTGAGTTACATAGTCGGTACGGCTCTCCTCCGCCAGACGGCGCTAACATTGAAAGACACGACAAAGAGTGCGTAGCGACAGAAAATTGATTTGTTACTTTTGGCTATAATAATAATCCGATCTGATCAAAATTCGGCAGTCTGGTACATATGGTCATTCTCTATGATTGCGGATGCCACAGATTTTCGTCCTTTGCGGAGCAGAAGTGAGTGGCGCCAATTTTGAAATACACTTGTAACAGTGACATATCGCAGAAGTCTGGATACAAATTGCTCTAGCTCTGGTCTTAGAGCACTAAGCGCTTATAGGGACGAACAGACAGACAGGACTCAATCGACTCGGCCATTGATGCTGACCAACAATATATATACTTTATGGGGTCGGAAACGATTCCTTCTGGACGTTACACAGATCCATGCATCAAGATAGGTAGTTGTTATAGCATTGTGCATTAAGAAGTGAAAAGTTTGACCGAGCTATTACATAGCGAGAGTGAGAAGTAGGAGAACCAACTTCTTGAAATTTTATATAAAGTCTTGATTTTAAGTTTTTTAGGCTGGATAACTCTTTGGTAAACCAAGGAGGTTTTCAAGATCTAATCGGACAAGAAAGGGGGACACAAGAATCGAAAAATGCGCCAAGAGCATTGTAAAAAATGTTTGTGCCTTTTATGACATCAGTGCACAAGTACAAAGCGGACCTATCAAAATCCCTAATTAGATTATTAAGCTTCTAAAATTTGGCTTTACGAAAGCAACGGAAACGTTCAGGTGGCCTACTCGACCGATCCAATACAGTTGGTCCTATATCTAGCGACACTTCGAAAGTTGGATGGTAGGCGTCTTCAAGTATAGTGAGCGGAAGGACTCGGGTTAAAAACACTAAGGTCGGATCCGATACAAAGCACAGATCAAGCAATCGACCCAAGGATTTTTTCACAAGGTTGACTTGAGACAGGGACAGGTCAAGCAAGCCGTCAACAAAGTCATGTCGTGATATGGACACTAGGTTACTAGACTCGTTTACCAAACAGTTCCTGGCAAATTGAAGTCACCAAGAACTATCATACGATCTTTATCTGATAGCGAGGAAGAAACAGCAGTTAAAGCGGACAAATGCTGCTCATAAATAGAGATAATTTCCAGTTCCGGTTGAACTTGGACTGTGAAGTGTTCCGACGTGAAGACAGAGTCCACTGGAATCAGAACATCTCGTGCACGTCGAGAAAAACTGTCCTCGGAACTAAGAATGTCCGGCTTTAACCAGGTTTCAGTAAACACAATAACGTGGGAAGCAAATGCAACACTATCCCGGAAAAGAATGCTGAGCTTACTACGTAAGCCTCTAACATTCTGATACGTTACTAAAAGAGAAGTTAGTTTTTTGGAAAGGTGGAAGCAAGACGGGTAGTTGAGGAAGAGGAAGTTGAGGTTAAGGGTGGCACACTGGAAACATTTCTAAGGGTTATGGGGGGCCCATTCTTCTTCTTAGCCTTAAACTCCTTCACCACCAAATGCTCCGGCCAAAATTTGGCGGAGCAAATGGTGTCAAATTGAGTTGGGGAGATGCTTATCTTAAACGAGGCTATCTCCCTGGCATAAGAGAAGTTAAATTTCTCCACCTTTAAACCCACGGCTTTTATTTTGCTTTGAATAAAAGCAATTACATCATTAGATGTGAGGTCAGGGGCCAGCCGTGAAACAAAAACTTGTCGTTTTGGTGGGACTCCCACCAGTGGTTTAGTCACCACAGGCAAAGTACCTGTGGTGGCAATATCCGGAGGTCCGGAACGTCTATTTACTTGTAACAGTGACATATCACAGAGGTCCGGATATAAAATGTCGTTGCTCTAGCTCTTATAGTCTTTGAGCACTAGGCGCTGATAGGGACGGACAGACAGACAGGGCTCAATCGATTCGGCGATTGATGCTGATCAAGAATATATATACTTTATGGGGTAGAAAACGATTCCTTCTGAACGTTACATACATCCATTTTCACCGCAAATCTAATATACTCCTATACTCATTTTGAGTATCGGGTATAAACACTTATAATTTAAAGTCAAGTAGAGAACAAGTGTTTGTGTCGATCTGTCCGTTTTCAGTGTCCATAAACAAAAACAGACAAACTCGATTTGCACAGTCATTTTTGGACTTGATAGAAGTTTGATTGGATTGAACTTGGCGCTTCGTTGGATATCTTTATGTGATGTTATCACACGTTACTGTTGCTATTGATTCTTAGTTCCTGGTGGCCCGCTAGACTACTACATCGATTCGATGTTGCTGTTGTTGCTGGTATTCTTCTAAGCCTTACACGCCTAAGAAGACGGCGTTTCTTACTTAAGTTTAATTAATTGCTCAAAAAAACTCGTCCTGCGACGCGGAAAAAGGAAGGAGAAGCTAGATACGTTATTCCGGAATATGTTAGAATGGCGGAAAAAAAGGCGACGTATCTTTTGGTATCCAAACTGCCGAGCAAGAAAACGAACATGTCGACGAACATGTCTACGACGAAAGAGAGAGAGAAGACTAACGCGGTTTTTGTGGCTTTCGTAAGTACGATAAACGGAAATAATCAAAAAAGGATTGTTAACAAGTATAATGAGGGGCATAAATTTCCACACGTTGTATATATCGATAAAATGAGTGCGAATAATGCCAGAAATGCTATCAATTAGATTGAGCTATCCGATCTGCTCCTTAAACTGGGCATACGTGATATCGAGGAGGTTGCTAGAATAGGCTGTGGCAGATGTAAGATTGTATGCGGGTCGGCAGAGTGCGCCAAAGTGATAGTGGAAAACACTGCTTTCGCTGGACAAGGGTACTCGACCCGAATTTTTTGGCACGTCGTCCAAGAATTAATTTTTGCAATCCCCGGGCACTACTCGGCGGAACGGCTAGCAGAGCTCGTAACCTCGGATATCCCAATTGGGGAGATAGTTTGGATTACAAGAAGAACAGAGCATCGGGGAACGTGTACCTACCGGTAGGGTGAAACTCTGGTTCAGAGGAGAGCAGTTACCAATTTCCAATTTCCAATTTCCACAATAGACCAAGCAGGTATCATGATTCTCCACGGGGAAAAGAAGGCTTTGAAATCTATTACACGGACGGGTCAGTTACAGATGGGCATTCAAGCGCCTCTTTCCTGCACGATAAAAAATGTCTTTTAGATGGCTATTAAACGCACAAAACCCGTTCCTCGTTGTCCGCCGAGCTGCTTGCTATCCAAAATGCACTAGACCATGCTATTTATCGACGGACAGCAGACGGGGCTCTCATTCTGCTGAAGAGCATTCGGGTTAACTTTATCGCCTACAGAATCAGAGAAAACATTCAACAAAATCAACATCTAAGAACTGTAGAGGTTCACTACATTCCCGGTCACGCTAAAATCCCCCAAAACACTTCAGTCGACGCAGCAGCCAAATAAGCCCATAGAAGAGGTAAATACACAGTTAAATGGAACCTTAAAGACGCTATGTGTGAAATACACAGAATTTTAAAAGCAGAATGGAAGAGAGAATACTTCGAGTTTGCTAGCGTCAAAACCCGAGGTTATTGCTCGCTTTTCCCTCAACATCGTCCAAACCGTGGTTCAAACTAAACTTAAAGACATTGACGCTACAAGAGTAAACCGACTACTCCGTGGTAACGCATTTTATAGGCACACACTTGCCAAAAATTAATGTAGTTCCTAGTATAAAAAAAAATGTTTAAAAGTATATGACTATGATATAAAATTCAGTCTTTTTCGCAGCACGCACAGATTCGAGTTAAAATTTCAGTCGCACTTCTTCTTTCGCTCTTCCTTTTGATTTCATTTTCGCGCACGTGTTTCGCTTCTGCTGGACAGCGCCGACTTAAAAGTTTTCCACACACCATGTCCCCCGGGCCATCAATTTCTAGTGAAAACCCGTTTTCCTTACTAGACGATAGCCCAAAAACAAAAACAAAAGCATTACCAAAAACCAAACATAGACATCCCAGAACCACCCGATGTGACAATTGAAAACCCAAAGTACATTACACTCTCTGCAAAGAACTCCGAAAAACCTATAGCTGCATACTCTTGCTTCGCCGCACATAAATCTATAAAATTCATAAGCAAAGAAATTATCTCTATTTCGACACTGCGTGACGGCACGCTACTCTCATCCTGTGAAAAATAATGAAATCGCCGAAAAATTCTTAAACACCGAAAAGCTTATTGGACTATGTGATATCACCTG